TGTTAATGAGATCAGATGAAGAAGACCAGATTGTCCAATGACAAGGTTCAGTTTTACATTATTACACTAAGACACTTACATATATTGCAGTTCTGTCAATTAAATATCGGGAAACAGAAAAGTCCAGAGCCTTTGCTTATATTTCTTTTGAGAACCCTGCGGACGCTGAGGTAGCTGCCAGAGAGATGAATGGAAAGGTAAGGAAGTTTCAATACCGTTCTAGGTCTTTTAGTTAATAGGATTTCTAAATATTTTTCTTTCCTAGAATTTTTTTAAGATCACATAATGCCACTCTTTTTCCTTCACTCTTCTAATAAACTTGTATCACGTAAAGGCCTGGCAGGGTGATTGGAAGGGAGCTTGAGATAAATATGTAAGGTCAAAATATTAATCTAATTTGCACCTTAGTCTTCAGAGGGACAGCTTTTCACCTGAACACTTTAAGGAAGTCTTTTGGTGTAGATGTTACTCTTAAATTCCCTTATGGAGGACATGTTTTACGGAGTGCTTACTGTGGTGAACACGTCATAGTACATGTTTTCTTGGTCTCTGTTATTTGAGAGTGAAAGAGCAGAGAGGTCCAGGTAAAAAAATAAATGTGGTAAGTTCCACATGGTAAAAAGATAAAGTAGGTAATTGGGGAGATTGTGATAGAGAGAGTGGTTAGCATTTTTATGTAGAAGGATTAAGGAACTTAACTGAGACCTGAATTTTGAGAAGGAGGCCACCACTTCCAAGAAATCTGGGAAGAATCTGTTGGGCCCATAATTAGCAAATGAGCTCTTAAATGGTGGACGGGTACCAGTCTATCAGAGGTCAGGACAGAGGTTTAGCATCTTGCTACAAAGATAATAGGAGGCCACTAGAGCTTTGTATGTAGAGGATTTATTATCTAAATTACATTTTTAGAAAATTGCTATGATGTTTCCAAGGCCCAAATGGTTAGGAGGTTACTGGAGCCTCAATTCCAAGACAACATTTCTGACAAATAAGAACATGTCGTGTGAAAAAAGTTTTGTAGGGACACACCTGAAGCAAAACAAAACTTTAAACCAAACAAAGGGGTCCCATCTAAAGGAATGAGAAGTAAGAAGAGTAATAGAATGAGAGTGGAAACAAAAGTGTACTCTTAACTGAGAAATATTTCTTGTCAGTTTGGGACAAACAGCTGTCAAAAGTAACACAGAACACATGACAACTAACATGAGCAATTACCATAGCTCAATTACTTTCTTCATTTCCTTTCAAAATGATACATGTTTTAAAACTGGGCCTACTATTAAAAGGAAATGAGATCTATACAATGTAGGAAATAGAGGTGCCACATTTGCCCACATCTATGAAAAGTTTAAATTTGCTCCTTTTAATCCTACAGAACATTTCCAGCAATTTTAATAGCCAATACGTATATTTTTCTACTGGGTGTCTTGATAGACGGCAGCGAACTTCTTACTGTGTCACATTGGGTACTGTGGAGGACTTTGTGGTTTACTTTGGGGAAGAAACATGAATGTTTCTATAGTTGTAATATTAAGGAGACCATAATTTACATTGTTCCCTTGTTTACATTAAATTTGAATTAGCATTATTGATCATGTACTTAAATCACCTTAGACTTTGGATGGCAAAACAATAAAAATAGAGCAAGTCAACAAACCATCTTTTGAAAGTGATGGAAGACAGAGACCACGTCCTCTTCTAAGGAACAGGGACCCTCCTAGATGTCTGAGAGGTGGCAAAGGGGGAAGTGGAGAAGCAAGAGGACATCCTTCACATGGAAGACACTTGGGTAATGTTTTAAAATACAAGAATGGAGCACTGAGAAGCAGTTGTTTGCCTGTACAGAAATCTGTTTGTTTTTCCTTCTTTATGAGCAAACTGTACTGCTATGACATTCATTGCCTACATAATTCACACTGATGCTAACTGATGCAATTATTTTAAATGCTAAGAATTACTAAGTTTGTAAGAATGATGGAAGTAATTATACAAAAAATATGAAATCCCATTGCAGTGAAGAAGCATAAATTTCTAAATCAATTAAGTTTATGTTACCATCACTATTAATTTCCTCTACTCATTTCATGTATTTTTTTTATTTTCCTTGTGATAATTGGTTCTGTAGATCTAATGTTACAATTTTTCACCTGTTGGCAAGGCTTTCCTCTGACTTTAAATCAGAGATCCATGCAAAATAAATTCCTTCTGTTTTGTTTTCTGTTTTTTGAGAAGAACCATATAACATCTTCTAAATACTAAGGACTCTTTCAAAAGATTACACAATAGGAAATAAAAATTACTCAAAATATCCTGAGTTAGGATATAAATACTGTCCATGTTTCAGGATTGACATTAAAGGATTTGTTATCCGGGTACCCCAATGTAAAAGTTCTAATCTACTCTAGGCCTCTTGGTGTAGGGAATTTCTCAACCTGGCTTTTCTGTAAAGAAATCTCCCTTTGAGGAAAGCTTTAGCTCTTTCTTTAGCTTCTCAGATATTCCTGACTAAAAGCACGCCTGCTGAAATATTTTGTGTCTCCAGTGAAGATTATGTCTAGAGGAAGAGGGCATGGGTCATTGCAAATGATGTGGATTCATCTTCTGAGTCTTTCTTTCACTTTTAAACTCGGTAGAATGAAGGATCATTTTTGTTTGAAAATATGTCCAGGTATGAAACCAAATTTATCATTTGATATTTTAACTAAGCTTCGAAAGTGAAGTTTTTAACTTCTGTATTTGATAATGAGATGTGAAATTAAGGAAATGTTTCTGAGAGTGGAATTGCAGGGTGTTGCATTTTAAGATGTGCTATACAGCCTTCTAGGGTACTAAATCGATTTGGGGCAAGTTAACAATTTATACTGTCATGAGTTTTCTTAAGCTTTGGCAATACTGGAGAGTTGAGAAACAGCTAAAGGTGTTTAGAGTGAGGTGAAAATAACTGTATTAATATTTACTGCTTATTAAAATGGAGTATAACCAAAATGAATCGATTTAGTAGCTTTTTATAAATGAATGTGAGACTTGTATCATAATAGTTAATTTACAGACAATGCATTTACTTTTCTGATATATAGAAAAATTTAATGACGCTTATGTTTATGGCTATGATGTTATGTTTTTAAAAGGCTTTCTTGACACGAGAATTAGACAAAAAGTCAACATCTTCCTGCTAATATATTTACAAATGTATTTTTCTTTTAATTATATTTTAGTCCATTAAGTGACAGGATTCCATTTACCCCTTACTTCTCCCTAGTTGATCTCTTTGATACTCATATACAAATGTCAATTCCTGAAGTTACTGTCTTTCTATAGATTTGCCAAACCGTAACATAAGTGTTGAAATGTACTTATGCCTTACATAGAAATAGTACATTTTATTAGTTAGACAAAGAGGAATTCTTAAGTCCAGGATACAGTTTAGTAAAGGCTTATACACCATACCAGGGAATTGTTCATGTATCAAAAGTGGCGTTGCTCAAACTAAAATGTATTTTTGTAAAATACAAATGATGGTGAACATACTGTTCATCTGAGTTCTTCCAGGGGATTATTTCTAGTTAAAAGAGGCAAATCGTCAAGAAGTGCAGGTCCTCCTCCTAAAAGATGTGCTTCCACTGGCCTAGTGCAAAGCAGCAGTGGGAGGGGAGACAAGGTAAGTGTTAGCTAATAGAAGCCACGATATTCACAATTTTTTTATCAGTGAAATGGGATGCCTAATTTTGAACTCACCTTGCAGATTAGGAAGATGCAGGCATGTAAGTATATTTGCTAACCACTAGCTTATTTACGTCGTAGCATACTAGATAAATTTTCACATTTGCAACTGGGAAACAATCCTTCAGTATCCAATGGTTTATGCAGTAGATGACTGTCACACGACAGTGGCAAAACACTTCCTTCAGACCCAAGTTTGCTACATCATTCCTCTTGAAGTTCCTATGAAAATTTGTTGCATATTAGCCTTCTTTTTCACATGGTTTCCAAGCAAAGAATCTCATTTAATATTTTATATGTATTAAGTAGAAATAACTATTTGGTTCTGCAATTTTTCCACATTGTTATTTAATCTTTGAGGTGGTACAGTCTTAAATCAAATATTACCAATTTTGTCCTTGATAATAAGAATCTAGGTGATATTTAACTTTTGACATATAAAAAGCCCACACATTCCTTGAAGGGGATTAACCTCCAAGTAAATATAAGGGAAAATTGGGACCTCAATGAATAAAGAGTGAAAATTAGCACGTGGTGAATTTTATTTAGGTGAGAAAATTGCGTATTTTCAAAGCGGTAGAATGCTCTTCAGATGAACCCTTTAATAGTGTGGGTATTATGTATTCGGAATCAATCTTGCCATCAGTAAGAAGACCAGGCTTGTGAACTTAATATATCATCATATTTGAGAGTCTTCTCCTTGGTGAACAAAAGAAAGAATGTATGTAAAATATTAGCATGTCCCCATCCAGTTTAAGGGTGTAATCTTTATTTGTGGGATTAAACAAATCACTAAAACATCTGAGAGGTACTAGATATCTCAATTAGATATTTCTTTTTAGGAATTGGAGTAAACATTTTGAATATGTGCATGTTTTTTCATGCAATTTATTTTACTAATCTGTAACAGATAAATAAATTGTGGGGGAAAATCTGTTTTGACTGCATCCATTTTGTGCTACTGTGAATGAGATTTTACTCTGGATGAGTCTTTCATTTACATGTCGTGAGAAACAATGGCATTGAAAGCCCAATAAAAATTACGAAATGATGAGATATATTTATGCTAAGGCATGCACTTTTAGAAGATAAGAGAAAACACAAACCATTACAAATTACCAAAGGAATGAAAAATCTAATTCTATCATATATTTTTGATATATCTAGAAGTCTCAGAATAGGCATAGTTAGAAAACTGAAGAAAATTGATCAGTACAAGAAGAAATAACTATTGCTTTCATTGAATTAGAGAGTGAGCTTTATGTGTTTTCTTCTATTCTACATAGGGTCCACATAATCAGGAGCTTCTAACAACAACAACAACATCCAAAATAGGACAGTTCAGAGACAGAATGTACACTGGCAGTTTCCAGGGGGCAGGGGTAAAAGAGAAGGGAATGCTTAATGGGTGCAGGGTTTCCTTAAGGGGTGATGAAAATATTCTCTCACTAGATAGATGAGGTAAGGAATGAAATAAGGAAGAGGAGGTAAGGAATGAAATAAGGATCCATGAAGGAAATTTCAGCTTTTTAAGCTTAATATTACAGACAGGGAAGTACTATGTTAGAAAGGCAATATGAAAACTGATAGGTAACAGTGATTATTTAATCCATTGACTGTATGTTTTCGTTTTTTAAAGGTGATCTGGTTAGTTTGTGCTGCTCTAACAGAAATGCCACAGGTAGATGGCTGTAAGAAAACAGGAGTTTTTAAAGTTCAGGAGGCCAACAGGCAGAATTCGGTGTACCAGCTCTAGAACTTGGGTGAAAGCCTCCTGACCTTGGGCTTCAGCTCTGCCTCAAGCTCCCAACTCACTGGAGCTAAAGGTGTCTGCTCACTCAGGGAGTTCCTGGCCGCCGAGGCTAACTAGCCCAAGGCCTACAAATAAAGTGGCA